ATGGGCATGTCTTTCTTTAATTTTGGGAAATTTTCTTCCATGATTCTGTGATCTTGACGTGGATTTCTTTTGTAGTTTCTGATTCTTGTGTGAGACTCAAGCCTTCAAGTTTAGGTCTGCTTCTTTTTGTGAACTTTTTGTGAACTTTATGTGTCTTTGTGGTTTACTTTTGGGCCATGGAAAGCTGGTTCCTCTAAGCTTCCAGTTCTCTTTTTTCATTTTATATTGGAGTGGCCAGATTGCTTTTGTCTTCAGGAGTTCCCACAGAGGCCCAAGTCAGATGAGGATCAGATGCTCTCAGGCTTTTCCTAAGGTCTTGATCCCTCGAGGAAATATTTTGGCCTCAGGAATTTGGGGGTTGAACTGGCCTGGGAGCCAGGCCTTGGAAAGATGCTCCTCTAGGGCAGCTGGTGGCTGTGCCACCCAGAGATGCAAAGGAAGATGGGGTGGGAAGTAGCCCCAAGGGCTCCTGGGGACTGCACTGAGGAGTTGGGTTGGTCTGAATGCAAAGGATCAGGAAGAGGAAAGGTCAGTCCTGGCATCCAGGAAAGAGGCTGGCGAGTTGTGCAAGCCCCGGGAATTGGAGGGAGGTGAGGGCGGGTCGGGACCAGTGAAGGAACTGAGTTGGCCTGAATGCAAAAGATCAGGAAGCAGTAGTGGTTCCCCAGGTGTCTGGGGCACCAAGACAAGGAATGGGACAGGACCTAGGCTAGGAGGAGAGACAGGCGGGCAGGGGAGATGGGAGGGTGAATGAGGCTGGGGGAGTCAAGGCACAGAGGGCTTAATGGAGAGAGGCCTGGGGTTTGGAGAGAGGCCTGTGGGTCGTGCAGGCCCAGGGTGTGCTTAGATATTCTTATGAGAGGATTTCTTCTTAAATATAATTAAGGTTTCTGGAAGACCTATTAAAATATAATTATAAGATTTCTAGACAGTGTTATAATTTTGACAGTCTACAAAGTCAGAAATATAAGCAGTTATTTTACTTCAGTGGTGTTTTTCAAAGTAATGTTTTTAAACCTCTGGAATTAGTCATCAGTTAATTATCCAAAAAGGTATTCCATGCAGAGAAGAAAAGTTTTGCATTATTCATGCATCAAGCATGAAAGGGAGCCTCAGTTACAGAATAGTGGTTTGTTTAATTAGACAGCATAGCTCTTGAAAGCTCTGTAGTTCAGTAAGCACCCTTTAAATGTTTCGTTGCAGAAACTTGGCTAAGAATCTGTCACCCCAAAATGAGAACCCCACGTGCCACTGAGGCAAAGCAGACTTTAGATTTACAGCATGCATCAGGGGATGTTTCTAAATCTAAATGTTGGCAGCAAGCAGAATCTCATCACAAAAGCAAAATCATGACTCATTCGGAAAGGCGCTGTTAGTTATTTTAAAGAACTTGCTGTTTTCTCCTTTTTAGCTCCACAGTGAATTTTTACCAACACAGTTTGCCTCAGAAGGCAAATGTCAGCCATGCATGTACTTAAGAACTTCTAACCTAACTGTAAATATCAAAGCTATACATAACAGTTAAAAAAAATAAGCTTGACAAGTTACTTTTCTGTATCTTTCCAATTATGAAGACATAAATGTCTGGGTCATCTGCCAATGATTCTTCTTTAGACACATTTTTCCCCTTGTATTTTAAGTGCTAGAAGTTCCTAGCAGCTAGGGAAGTAGAAATAGGATAATCTAATTTCAGGAAGTTGATCTATGCATTCTTAGACCTTTGCATACTGTGCTGGTTAGTTTTATCTATCAACTTGACAAGATCTAGTATCTTCTGGGAAGATGGTCAGAACTCAGAAATTATCTAAATCAGGTTGACCTAGGGGCACATCTGTGGGGGGGGGTGGGGGGGTGGGATTGTCAAGATTGTTATCTGAGGTGGGACGATCCACCCTGAATGTGGGTGGCCCCTTTCAGTGGCTGGTCCCTGGATTGTATGAGTTCGGAAAGCAAGCAAGGATCTATGAGTTTATTCTTTCTTTGCTTTTGACTACAAATGTGATGGTTAAAGTCCTGCCTTGATTTTCCCCAAACAACAGACTATAACTGGAACTGTAAGCCAAATAAACCCTTTACTCCCTAGGCTTCTTTGGGTCAAAATATTTTATCACAGCAAGAGATCTGAAACTAGAACACATATGTTTGATCTGGTGAATTAACTTAGATATTTTTCCCATTGTTCAAACATGATTGGTGTTTACTAATACGAGGCTCCTTTGTTCTTCTGGCCATTAGGAAGTAAAGCAAGCTCTGAGGCAGAGAGAGAAAGTGAGTTTGATAGGTACAGTGAGCCCAGAAAGGGTGCTCTGTGGTCACATGCCATTGGCTCAGTTTTTGGAGGCTACCACAGAATCATGTCTTCACATTTGGCGGAGCGTTCTGAGCAGTCCCATTCATAGCACCACTGAGTGTATCCCCTTTCCCTCCCAGAGGTCTGTGAGGCTGCCCTGGCTTCAGCCCACAGCTGGGGAGCTGAGGAACTGCATTCTGCCTGTCTGCTCACATGAAGGTTCCTGGGCTGAGCTGGGCAGGGCGTGATGACTGTGACAACTTGTATTGAGGCCTTCTCAGTGCCAAGCTTAACAGTACCTCAGTGACTTTGGCTGCTACCAACAGGCCGTTTTGAAACTGACATTTGAAGAATTTCGTTTCTAGGTTTTGTAATAGGTCTTTACTTATTGAGTGAGCACTGAATGCCAGACCCTTTCCTCAGCACTGTATCTCTTTCAACTCGTTTGTCTTCACAGAACTCCTCATGCTTTCATTGCCCCCTTTGCCAGTTGGGAGAGGTGAGACAAAAAGGTTAGGTAAACCGCTTAAATGAAATAACTGGCTCTTTCAATGATGCTTCTGTATGGTAAGCCCAGTGGTAGAATCCAGGCAGGCAGCTTCTGTGATTTACTCCTAATATATTGTCTTTTGGAGGGTGGCTAATTCCTGTCACTGGTACTGGGTGCTTAGTTGAAAAGCCTGAATTCATGTGGGGTGGGCTTCTAAGGGTGTTTTGGGTAAGCAGGAGAACTAGTAAGGGACACAGGGATCAAGGAGTGTGTGTCTCCAAGTGAAGAATGGACACTGAGATGGAATGTGAGGGTGGAGGGAATGCTGCCCACAAAGGGAACCACAGCCACTGGACGTTTCCTGAGCTGTGCAACTGCCAACTTATAGAACTCATGACCTCTCTGCACGTTGACTTCAATAAAAAACAAGAGGCTGAAACATCTACTGTGAATTTCCGCAAAGGTTACTGGTGGATTTCAGTAGCCAGTGCAACCAAATTCTATGAGCATCATTTCAAACAGCTACAGATATTGCTGAGCAGTAAGACCTCAGAACACCACCAGAATATATAGTGTACATTATAGATTATGGGATCAGCTTTCTTTATGGCCATCTGTGAGATTTGAATTTTTTGAGACAGGGTCTCCCTGTAGTCCCAGCTGGCCTGGAGCTCACTATGCAGACCAGGCTGGCCTGGATCTCACAGTGAGATCTACCTGACTTTGCCTCCCAAGTGCTGGGATTAAAGGCTTGCATCATCACACCCAGCAGCAATTTAAACTTTTGTTTGTTAAAATGGTAAACAGAAAACAGAAACAATTCTTATAACACAAACCTACCATATTAGCTACCTCAGCTGGCACTTGGAACTGAAGGGATTGCGACAGGGTGGGCATCTTTGATGGGCAGTATTGTTGTGAAGAGCTGGAATCCCGAGTCAGAATTCTTACTCAAAGCCCTTTGCTGTCTCCCACACCTTGAGTAATCCAAGTCCTTTTTTCTTTCTTTCTTCATATGTCAGATGTTATAGAAAACACCTTTATTGTGAGATTATTTAACATGAATACAGAATACATGTCTGGCCCTTTTTGGTAATGTGTATGTACAAGGATCTGTGCCTTACACACAGTGCAGTCAGCCAAGATTGGACACTTGTGTCAACTCTCTGAAGCCTAGCTGGCAACTTCACTTGTAGTTTTTATGAAGGCCTTTTTCTTGTTGTCCCAAGTCACAGATTATTTAATTTTATTCACTTGAAGATTTTGAAGCAGCGGCAAATATTTTGAGAGGGTTTAGCTCAGCTACGACATCTTGCCCCTCTGTCCTCTGCGGTTGACAGTTTCCCGTACAAAGCTCACGTTTTCTTTTGCAGAGCCTCCATTTTGTCATGGGCTACATGAATGAAAGAAAGGAACCTTTTTACAAGGTCCTTTTCTCTGGAGAAGCCTCGGGAAGAATTACACTGTGGCACATTCCAGATGTCCCCATCTCTAAATTTGATGGTTCTCCTAGAGGTAAGAGAGTTTCCATTTCGAATCTTATCTTCTGAAAACTAACTTGTGGTTAATTCAGTGCTTGTTGCATTGAGTGATATGAGGCACAAACGAGAAAGAAAATGTCTCCAAAGATCGAGTGTTAGGTGTGACTGTTAGTGCTGACTGCCAGCCTGACAGGATAAAGAATGACCTGGGAGACAAACCTCTTGCCTTTTTAGGGTTTCTAAAATAGGTTTCCTGAGGTGGGAAGTTCCTCCCTAAATGTGGGGAGAACCATTCCACAGCCTGGGTCATGGGCTAAATAAAAAGGAGAAAGCACCAGTGTTCATCCCTCTGCTTCCTTAAGTGCAGATACAATGTGACCAGCTGTTTGGAGGCGGCACTACCAATGTGCTTCCTCATCGTGATGGGCTGTACTCCTGAATTAGGAGCTAAAATAAACCCTTCCATCCTTGGGTTACTTTTGTCTGGCATTTTCTCACAGCAACTTGAATACAAATAACAGACATCAATATAAAACCAGCTATAAACATGAAGTTTGTGAATTTGATTCAATAATACAACCAACAGAATTCAAATTAACCTCAGTTGAACATCTCAAGGGATGGAGACTAGTGATATGAATATTATTGAACTGTCCAAACATACTCATATTTTTGAGATGATGTCTTGATCATATTTTCTGTCTCTATCATGAACTGATTAACTTTTCCCTTTGTGCATATGTAATCCTTTCAGAAATACCAATAACCACCACTTGGACTATCCAGGATAACTTTGATAAGCATCAAACTATGTCACAGAGTATTATTGACCACTTCTCTGGGTTCAGAGATGAACTGGTAACAGCAGTGGTCACGTCATCAGAGTACATTCCAAGTCTTGATAAACTCATTTGTGGCTTCGAGGATGGGACCATTTTCCTCACCAAGGCTTTGCATGCTGCCAAAGCAGGACTTCTAGAAGGGGGCTCTTTATTAAAAGGTGATTGAGTTTTACTTGGCTCTATTTAATTTATCTAATTTCAACAAGCTACAAAGGTTCAGAGGTCTCAGAACTTAGCAGGTATTTGTGGATAAATTTGTGCACGTTTTAATACTACGTTAAACATATGTATGTAGGTTTTGAAAATACTCAAGCAGAAAGTTGTATCAAGACAATTTCTGTCCTTACTTGATCTTCCAGTTTCTTTCACCAAAGACTACTATAAATAATAGTTCCTTCATACTTTAAATTGTCAGTGTATATCTCCGTCTGTCATCGCCATCCATCTATCCAACTCTCTCTATCCATCTGTCTATCATCTATATATCTATCTATCTCCATCTACCTGTCTTCTATCTATCATTTATCTATCATCTATCATACATCTATATATCAAGACAGTATATACACTATTTTAATTATATTACCCAAATGGAACCATGTTATGTACATCATGATAAGATATCCTTAAATAAATATTAATAAAATATTTTGGTCCTCATTCTTCATGAGCTCATTTTAAATGACAAATAATAATCAAATTTTAATTAAAAATCCTTCTGTTAATTGACACTTAGGTTTTATGGTCTTGTACACCTATGGAGGATATGGACTGGATTCTCTCACTGTGTATATAGAGGTGTGTCTGTGGTATTAATTCCAAGGAAGAGAATTACTAAATCAATATTAGTCTGTGGTTTTGATTTGGGAAATTAAAATATCTAAACAGGTCTGATAGAATTTAGCTCAAAATACATGTGTGTCCCATAACAGCCTGTGAAAATGCAAACCTTCCCCCCCCCCCAACCCCAGTGTTGTCAACCTGTTTTTAAATTTTTTAATCTTTACCAGTCAGGTATAACATTCTATCTTCCTGTTTTCATTTTTATTTCCTTGTTAATAAAATCTATTCACATTCTTATATATCTCTGTGTATTACCACAACAAATCCGCCTGCCTCTGCCTCCTCTGCCGAGATTAAAGGCGTGTGCCACCCTGCCAGGCCCTCTTCTCCTGTTTTGATATCTGTACTGTGGGGGATGAAACCTAGAACCTTGTACATGCTGAGCAGAGCACTCTATCACCAGGATGTAGCTCCAGCCCAAGAATTTAACCTGGTTTTTGTGCACTTTTCATCTACCATCCTCTCGGCCTCTTATTCCCAGCTCCCTTTAGCTGCTTCCTGAATGTCACTGCCTTGATTGACAGTGAATGGCAGTGGAGTGGATGGCAGTGAAGCCAGGAAAGGTACCATGCAAGCACACAGCTGCATGGATGTTGTTCAAACTCAGTGGAATTGTGAAACTATAGAGATATCCATCTCGGATGATTTATTCTAATATCTAGAAAACAGGCAGAGACCTGTGTTTGACTGAATGAATACTCACTGTGATTGTCTATGGTGAGAATCTGTCAGATGGATGAGAAGTAACTAAGATAAAATGATGAATCTTTGGAATTCCTTTTCGTTTTGAATAAAGAGACTGGGGAATGGTTCTCTCCAATTTGAAGGGTTTTGGTAGCAGTGGGGGAAGTAGCACTGATAGTGGGAAGGGAAGCAATTCACCAGTAGACCTAGGTTCTAGTTCAGATTTGACTTGAAAGGCCTGTGTGCCCATGTCCCTTCCAGGTGCCAGACAGAATGCTGAGAACAAGTTTATCCCACCCAGGGGTCTATGCAAAGTATCTCACACAGCATCTGTGAGTTAAAAGGAAAGAGACAAGGTGTCCATGGTGGCAGGATCAGTAAGTGACTAAATCAGAGGAAAAGCAAAACTTCACTCATCAGCAAAGCTGTGATCTTAAACATTGTGCCCAGCTTTTGACACATGGAGTTAAGTCAGGTAACTTACCTGAGCTTGGGATACTTTTCTGTAAAACAAAGATACAGAACTTGGTCATTTCCAACATCTTTTGTGGCAAAATGTCCTGTGGTCCTTGCTTCTCTATTCTCAGACTTAACTGATCTGATTTTGTGGAGACAGAGTGTCTAAATGGCTCCCTTGTTTAGAACAGCATGTGATATTTTACAGCATGTGGACAGCCTTCCACAAGTAGTAGACTCAAAAGGCTAACCTTCTCGCCTCATTAAAAGCCTAGTTTGCTTTCTGATGAGGCCTTCTGCTTTTTGAGATGGTCTGCTCAGGGTTGTTCAAGACTTTTCTTAGTAAAGTGTGTGCATATATTAAAAATGGGTGAGACAAAAATCTTAGAATTATTAAAAAATAACATTGTTCTATTTGGTGTCTGGTCAATTTTCAGGTTCCCCCTGTCACAAGGTCCTCAGGGGCCATCACCACAGTGTGACTGCCTTGCTCTATCCTCATGGTTTTTCTTCAAAATTAGACCAGAGTTGGATGGTGTCTGGGGATCGAGGCTCCTGTGTCATCCTGTGGGATATTTTTACTGAAGGAATTCTACATAAATTCTTTTTGGAAGCTGGTCCAGTAACAAGACTTTTGATGTCACCAGAGAACTTTAGAGTAAGTTAAGATATAGAGACCTAACGTATAATCTAAAATGTAACCTACATTCTCACAAGTAAAATTAAAACAAAATCCTGTATTCCTGTAATTTAACTGGATATCTTTTCCAAGTTCATTTCTAACCTTTAAATATGAGCTTTATTTTTATTACATGTCACACAATTATGTGTTTCTAAAGCCAACATTTGATCATCTTTAACTCTACAAATCCACTTAGTTATTCTTTGCCAAGTAATCACAATCTTTTTCTCTAGTTATCTTATTATTATTATTATTATTATTAGTTTTTGAGACAAGTTCTATTTGGCCCCATCTAGTTTGGAGTTCACTATGTAGACCAGAATGGCCTCAGACTCACAGAGATCTGCCTGCCTCTGCCTCCTGAGTGCTGGGATTGAGAGTGTATGTCAATAGATCATAGAAAATCAAGTCAAACAAAGTAGGAATCTATAAACTAAAATTCAGCTTTTGTCTTCAAGAATTTCCTTTGAATCATATGGATGGCCATTGTTTCCTTATATGAGCTTTTTATTTGCTTAATTATGTCTTTAATAAATATTGAGCCTTGACAAATTTGCAAACACCAATCACGTTGTTGGGCAAAATGAAGGACTTGTAGTTTTTATCATCCCATGAGATGTCAACTTGAACTTGGTTCCTGAAGGACTGAGATCTCTGTTAAAACATGAACATCCAGATTTTGAGAAAAAAGTATATAGTAATGCAGGTAAAGATGATTTTGTAAGTTAGACTGACTTATAAAATTGTGTCTACATAATATTATAAAACAGCTCCAAATTAAACTTGTAGAAAACTGACACTGTATTTTAATGACAAGACAAGGAATCAGCATATTTCTTCAGCACAAATGATTAAAGAAGAGAATGAAGCAAAGTATTCCAGAACCTTCTGTGAGGGCACTTGGATTACTTTGATCTACTTTCTATTCTTGAAGTACTCTTGCCCTCTCATTTTAATCCTTTTCTTTTTTCAGCTCCAGAACAGAAAATCCAAGTTAGTTTTTGCCCTGATCCCTTTTCCTTCTGACCCAGTCGCAGGTCATTTGACTTTCAAGATTAGGATCCATTCAAACCAAGTGAGACAAACAGGACTTTATTGAAAGAGTAGATAGGATAGAAGTCTTCAGGGAAGGCTTGATGGAATTTGAGCTATAAATTCAGAATCTGCTGCTTCTACTCCCAAAGAGAATGTTATTCTGCAAATGCTCCCCTAACTTTCTTTTCCTATAAATTCTTTAATCTTCTTTCAAATGTCTAGGAAACAATCAGGTCAGTAGGGTACGTTCACCCCTGGCCATGGGATGTGTATTCACGTGTGTGTGTGTGTGTGTGTGTGTGTGTGTGTGTGTTTGTGTGTGTGCATGTGTTTCTTGAGTACACAGGCTGCCCATTCTAGGAGCTATAGGGTGGAACTTTTCTCTCAGAGGTAGGGTGGTTCGGGAGATGTGACATCCGACTCATTGTGAAGTCTGGGCTCTACCGCCTCCCCTGAGCACGTCAGTCACGTGGATACTCACATGCTCTTGACCTTTTTTTTTTTTTTTTTTTTTTTTTTTTCTCCTCAGAAGTTCTTTAGTTTCATTAGAAAGAATATGAAAAGAAAATATATTTCCCCGGTTTCCCCCCAGTGTTCCACTGAATGGTTAGTGATAGGGGGTGGGGCTTGAGAGCAAGCTGTGGTTCTGGGTGACTTAGCAGCCCCAGAGGTGGCCCTGAGGGTTGAGCTTGGATCTTTTGCTAAGCAAGTACACTAACACTGAACCCTGCTCTCGGCTCCCTTTTTATTTTTAACTTTTTTTCATTTTATCTATTAGTTTCCCAAGTTGCGTGGTCAAGGTGACCACTGGTGTCTTTCAGGCTGCCGCCCTGTGACCCTCTTTTGGTCTCTGTGTCTTTGAGGGCACACACTCGGCAGAAATCTTCTAATGCTTACCTCTTTTAGATTGTATCTACAGCAAGTTTCCTGTTTGGATTAGAATCAGTAGAGTTCTGGGAACAGCACCAAATCACATTTTGAGGCTTTAAGTAGAAACTCTCAGCGCTCCTGATACCCTTGGGCCTGAGTTCCTGTCTACAAATAGCTTCTTTTTGTGGTGACAAATGAGTTCTGGGGTTTATTGTGTTCTGCCTTATTTCCGACTCCTTCCTCAGTGCCTGAATTTGCTGAGTGATGGCAAACTCCTTCATTTATCTTACGAGTAGACCTGGCAGAGAACTCTCCTGTTCACTTGTCTCTTGACTTTCTGGGTAGGTTGGTGAGTTTAAACTCTGCTGTGTGTCTGACTGAGCTCCATCCAGGGCCCGATGAAGAGGCTCTTCATGGTGCAGAAGCACACTTTTGGAAATGAACAGAAAGCTGGGGGAAATACTTGGTTCCATCATAGAGGAAGCATTTGACTATCCATGAGCCTGTTGTTTTTCCACAGCTAAGGAGCGATCAGATCATCTGCTCTGTATGCGAGGACCACTCTGTGGCCCTCCTTCACCTGGAAGGGAGACGGTGCCTCCTGCGTGCCCGGAAGCACCTCTTCCCTGTGAAGACCATCAGATGGCATCCAGTGGAGAACTTTTTAATTGTGGGATGTACAGACGACTCTGTCTACATCTGGGAAATTGAAACAGGTGAGCAGAAAGGTGGAAAAGTTAGCCCTGCATATCCTTTGTCAGTGATATGCAAGCATTTGGCCAGGTAGAAAGTTCCAGAACACACAGTTATGACTTCACTTTCTCTAAACTTTCAGTGGCGCTGCATTTATCACTTCAGAGGAAGTGTGGGAAATAAAACAGAGCAGCCTCAGTCAGATCCTGAGCAACTGATGGTTAGCTGACCCGGCAGTGTTCAGGAATAAGCCGGATATCTCTGGAAGCTATAAATAAAAACATAAGTTATCTACTTTAATTATTAACAAGAGAGAAATTTAGTGTCCTACTGGTCTCAAATTATCATTAAATTCTGCCTTCTTCAGCATACTCACCATCTCAGCAACATTTTGAGCTAATTGATGATCAGTAATAATGGAATATAATTAATTATAAGAACTCCGAAAAGTTGAGTCAGGCAAAACTGAAAACTAAGTGGTTCAACTGAACTTTTGATAGCATGCCGTAGACATTGCATGTTTTGGACATTAAAAGTTATTTTTGAAGTTTAACCAGATAACTGAAGACAGAGAACAACATTTCAGGGAATGTTGAGAACCTGTCGAATAATGTCAGGTAATTACTGAATAGGATCTAGGAAATCTGGAGTATGTTTCACGGAATCTGCTGCGTGACTCATTGATTAATTGGTGGAGGTTTTATGTTGGGTGTTGTTAACAGACTGAGCAGTGTATAATATTTTAGTATGATCCTAAACATCACCAAATAATTGATCTTTTCTCTCCGTTTGACCATCATGGGCTAATGATGGTGACTTGTGTGCTGCAATTTGGAGACTGACACCTGACGCTGCCCAGCATTTGGTCCTTGTTTAACTGCTGTGGGGCTCCAAAGCCCATTTTCTTATTCTAATTTCACAACTTCTGGGGGAGGGAGGTCAGTCATTTGTCATTGCTGTGTTGATAAAGAACTGTACTTTCAGTGTGTAAAAGTGCAAGGTGGCACAGCTAATGACAAGTGAGACAGTTTGAGGGCCTGGTAAGACTGCACAATGTGTCCTAAATTAAGAGAATTTTAAAATTCTTAGGTCATCTATGAATCTTAGTGATAATTGTGAACAATGGGTAGAAGAGGCTCTACAGATGTACCAGGCTTTCTCCAAGACCCAATAAAGAAGAGCTGATTAAATAAAGCCTTGGGCAAATAACTTGGTTTCTCTTCAAGGCGGTTTCCCCACCTGTGGAATAGGTATCATAATACAGGAGTGAATGAGCTAATGCCTATGATGTTCTAAAACAATGTCTGCAAGCAATAAGTCCTTATTAATAGTATCTATTTTTATTACCAAAGAAGGCAGCAAATCTTAACTGCTGTGGTGAAACCTGGGTCTGTAAAACACACATGCTTATTCATGTATACAGTTACATTTATAATTGTGGATGCTTGGTGACCAAATGTGTTTCTTATAGATAATAGAATCCAGAAAGAATAAAGACACCTGATCACTCACATGTTTTCATGGTTCCATTGGCCCATCAGTTAACATTGTCCCACACAACTTTTACATACTTGCTATTAACACTTACATGCACCTGTGCTGTACATATTTCTGTATCAATAAGTAGATGTCTGCATTGCATTCCAGCAATAGCTCTAGTAGAAATCTGAATTCAACTCATATGGGTCAGATGGAGAGAAATCCATGAAAGGAATATTTATAGGTGTGTATAGGAATTAAGGAACAGCCAGAAATGGGTAGTGAGTCCATCAGCATGTAGACATAGGGAACTCAAAAAACTCTCATTGCTGAAGCAAAACAGAGTCAGAACTCAACAGAAATCCTATATGGGCAGAAGCTCAGAAGAGAGGCTATCCTGGACGTTTGGGAGAAGCAGTTCCAGCTTGATTTACAGGGTTGGAATGGGGAGAATGTGGATTCAACTATTAGACTTTTTCAGTCTCTTCCATTAACCCCACTAGACATCAGAGATACAGGGGGCTTGTTGTTGGCATCAGCCTCACCAGGTCCAGAGTGGGACACAGGAGGTGGGAAAGGATGGGAGAGACTGTCTGATGGACACTGATCATTATAGTGGCTGTCATGCTCAGAGCATGTCTTAATTCAGGAGTCTCCTAGAGCTGGCTATGTATATTACCTATGAAAAATTTAATTATAGAATTGTCATATCACATACTTATGTTTGCTGCCAAATTAACCCACTGAATGTTTGTTGCAAATGAGGTTATTTATCCCATGATAGCTACACTGGTGATTAAAAAAATAGTATTGTGATGGTTCGAATGAGATGTCCCCCCATACACTCCAAGTCTTCGAATACTTGGTCCCAGTTGTGATGCTATTTGCAGAAGTTGTGGAGATGTGGCCTTGCCGGAGGAAGTACACCACTGAGGGTGGGCTTTGAGAGCTGTAGCTTCCCTCACGTCTAGCTTTCTCCCTCTGCTTCCTGTGCAAGCTTTCTGCGGCTGCATCCTGCCACTCCTCCCTGCCGTGATGCTCTTACCCTCTGGAACTGCAAACCCAAGTCATGGTCATGGTGTTTTATTACAGCAACAGAAAGTAGCTAATGCAAATATCAGCTGCATCTGAGAAGGCACACATGATCTGTGGTATTCTTAGGTCGAGCCACATCTTTACATTGGTGATGTGCACCCCAATGTTTTCTTTTTTCTGTAGCACTTGTGACTGAACATGGTGGAGGTCAGCTCTGGAACAGCTGGTCTATCTGGGTCCTGCTGGCGGCTAATGTTTACTTTGGGGGAATACTACATATCTCTGCAGGCCATGTCAAAGGGCTGCCATCTCCATTAGTGATAGGGCCTAGAGCACATGTTCCGTGCAGTGGTTCATGGAACTTTATGGAACTATTTCTCCATTTCAAGATATGCTGTTTCCTACATTTTTTAATATTATTTTTTATATTTTTAGAAGAAGCATATCATTAAAACTTTAACATGCCCAATAACAGTTTCCAGAGCAAAGACCTTCAAAAGTACACAGCTCCTTCAAAAGTGGCTATAAAATTTCTAGATTCGCTGTTGAATCAATACAGTTATACAATAGTGAACTCAGTATAAGCCCTGTAAGACATAAAATTGAATGAGTTTTTAACCCTCAAAAGAGATCTCCGTTTCATTCTAAAATATACTGTTTCTTACAGAAAGACTCATTGTTTTTGCTACTAACACTGAGATGTTGGCACATGTGTCTCTAATCTATATGTATCTGATTATTACCAGTCATAATCATTTGCACTCGGATCCTTGGCACCGGTGTATATCTATAAAGTCATCGGGTAGATTTCAATGGTGATGTAAACTTTTATGCTCCCTCCTCAAATACAATACATTTTTTTAATTTGGTGATTTTTTTTTCTGTGTGTATATCACACAGAACTTCCCAAACCATTTATTCAACTATACACCCACTTCCCAGATGGTACCCTCCCATAGCCTCCCTCCCCATACTAGAGACTTTATACTGTGATATCCCTGCTACTGTCTGCTGTGTTGTCAGCACCCCCAGCCATTCCCCACTACTTGCCCTTCTAATGAATCTCATCAGCCTATCTAGAGGTCTTTGTTTTAGGAAGGTCAACTGTTCCTCATCTAGCAGCAATCTGTTGTCCCTATTGCTTTATATAAGATTGGGGTCTGCTGTTCATTTTCCAGTTCTATGCTGGGTTACTATCTCGAAGTCCCTTTGGCCACCCTGGCCAACAACTCAAAAGAAGGGATCTCCTATCTGGCATTGTTGCTTACTATGTAGCCTTTAGCTATGCATATGGACTCTTAAAAAATGATATTGGTCCCTTTAATCTTTGGTTATACTTTCCTTTTGGGTGTTTAAGTCCATACAGTTGGCCCAGATAAACCAATTTATTTTTACTCTTTGGATGTTCAAGGATCTGTTCCTCAGGGGTCACATGGGCTTGGGAGGAGCCCCTGGCTCCTTTCTTTTTCCAGTTCCGCCTATGTGAGGATAAGTCAAAGGTCCTGCTCAACCATGGTTGGCTTCGCTTGGAAGCATGGAGGAAATGATTCCTCTG